TCTCACGCTCCCTTCGCCGTTTTTTCCTCTAACTCCCTTTTTTTTCCTTTCAGTACATCTTCTATATTCCCTAGACTTCCACTTCTTTCTTTTCCCTTTTTACCTACCGATCCTATTATTCATCCTCCCTCCGCTCCCTTGCCTCCCTCTTCTTCCCGCTCCACATGCTTTCTAACCCTTTTAATCCAAATCCTCTCCGCTTTCCTCTCTATACTCTTCCTTCCCCTGTCCCTTCTTTGCCTACTTCTCGCCACTCTACGTTCTTCCTAATCCTTGCTTCTTCTTTCCTAAATTCCCTAGCTATTCCCTAGCACCTTTACTCTATTTTTCTGCCCCCGTTTCTTTTTATACCCTATACTCCCTGCCCACTCTCAGCTGTCACCAGCCTCCTATTTCTCTCTTTCCTCCTTTCTCTGTCTAACTATCCTCTCTCACACTACTCTCTCACCCTCTCACTCTTCCCCTCTTCCTTTTCAAACTATCCTCTCCACTATCTCTGTGCTCTAACCCCTTTAATCGCCCTCAACTCTTCACTATCACACACCACGTGTACTCTAATTCTGCACCGGAAACGGAAGTCATATATATATATATATATATATATATATAAAACAACAAATGTATTTACAAAAGACCAACTTATCGAGCAATATTTAAGATGTATTCAATTAAAATTTATTTCATAAACAATATATTGAAATTACAAAAAACCTTCCATATAAATAATATATTGAAATTACAAAAAACCTTCCATATATAAACGTTTCAACCGCATGATGTCTTCCTCAGTATAACAGTGTTACGTAATTTATAATTCTTACAAAAAATCATCCTATTCTTAAAATTTACTAATAGTCCGTTAATTCGAGTCGAGAATATATTAGAACTTTATGCGTGTTATAATTTGTCATGTTTTAAAAGTATTCGCCGTAATGAAATCTTATGATGTTGGATCTCGTAAGTTATTTCTTCGTTTTTAAGCAAGAAATTTTTAATATCCATAGGCGCTGTGATTGATAAATGAATAACAATAACGTATGTCTACTAATATATAAAAGGCCTTACATAAATTATTATGCTTACTTTGTGTCGCTTCTTCTCACAGTTAAACACAATTTAAAAAAAAAAATTTTTTTAAATTTAACAACATTAGCAAAAATTAAAACAATAATAAGACAAATAGGACATCAACAGTTTAGGCACATCTTTCCGATAGTATATAAACACACATAATTTGCGACTAAATATAGTTCAAAATGAGGTGTCTTGTTAGACGGTTGGTTTCATCTATTTATAATAATTTAAAAAATTTTTTTAAACAATTGTGTTAAACTGTGAGAAGAAGCGACACAAAGTAAGCATAATAAATTTATGTAAGGTGTTCGAAATCGAACGGATAAAGAAAGCTGAAAGGAAGGGCATTAATGTATTACAATCAAATTCATGCAATATAAGCATGCAGCATGCACATTACGTATATAAAACCTTAAATTGTAACCGACAGACTTTAATATTATTTAAATCGCGCTCGGCCGCACAAGTATACATATACCTCGCGCCTGCGAAAAAAGAAGCGCTTGCGTTAACTTTCACTTTAATCGTAAACACCGCGGTCGCGCGAGAGGAGAGAAAATCAAGTGCCAATAACAACAAAATATGACTTGCTAAAAGGTAAATAATTATCGTAAACGTACTTTCGCCCTTAACATCTCGATCGAACAAGGGAAAATGTTCGCGAAGGTTCTCGAAATCCGGGCCTATATAAACCTCCTCTCTCGTGACCGCGGCGCTCTTTCCGATTGCTCGTCGCGAATAGAGTGTGCTTCTACTTTCCGAAAAAGATCGCTTGTCTTTTTCGGTTTTCTCGTCTAATTACCGTTGCTTGCGGAACAGTCAGTAATTTATTTTCGACCCGGCTTTTCTCTCGTTTATTGCATTCATTTCTTATACATTCGACTCGGCTATCTTTTGGTAATTTCTGTGCGGTAAAACAATTGTAATTTTTGTTAATAGTGAAATATATTTTTTGTTAACGATACGTGTGTGTCGAGTGTAGTGCCTATCTATCGTCTCGCTTCCGACCGTCCTTTCCCGCTATCCGTTGTGCACATTTTTTGGTCCTTCGAGCCGGATACTTATCCGGAACCTCCTGTTAATCCGGTGCCACGGAAGCGATCGTGATTAAGTGTCGGTGACCAGTGCCCCTGGAAAAGAGAGACAGTGTGAGAGATGGCAGAAACAAAGGCGATCATTGCCACCGCCACGGTACTATACGGCAAGATCTCGCGCGCGTACGACAACTTGCGGAAGCTCGGCGAGGCCAACATCACCCTCGGCGCAGTAGAGGCCCGGCTTCAAAACCTCGAGAAGCTGTGGGAAAAGTTCGACGCAATTAACGATACGCTAGCCGATCGTGTGGAAGAGATAAAACATGATGTCTACGCCAAGCAAGACATCCCGTCATTAGGTGAGGAAGCTTACCTGCAGAATAAGGGCCTCATGCTCGACCTAAAGAGCGCTCTCCAGCGGCGGCTGCAGGCAGCCAGCTCTACCTCGGCCGCGCCAACGACCTCCGCTCCTCGGACAGCGCTGCCAAAAATCCAGCCACCGACCTTCGCCGGGAAGTACGAAGACTGGCCGTCCTTCCGAGACCTCTTTCAATCCATCATCGGCAGGAACCAGGCAGCCAGACCTGTTGAAAAACTGCATTACCTCAAGCTCTGTGTAAAGGGTGATGCGGAACTGCTAATACGCAATTTGAGTACGACGGATGAAAATTACGAGATCGCCTGGAAGACGTTAAGCAATTTCTACGAGAACAAGAGGTTGTTAACTCGTAACTACCTCAACAACTTTCTGGCTCTTACTAAAATGAAGAGCGAATCCGCAGCTGAGCTAGGGCGACTCTTCCACGGCGTAAAAACAACCGTAAGTTCGCTGAAGAGCATCGATCGTCCCATCGACCGCACGGAGGACCTCTTTGTTCACCTTGTAGTTGAGCTGCTCGATAATCGTTCGCGTCGCGAATGGGAGAGCGTCATCAGCCACACCACCAACCCGCCTACCTACGCCGAATTGGAAGGATTCATAGAGCGACGGCTGCATACCTTAGAGGCTCTGTTTCCTGTGAAGAACGACAGCCGCAGCAGCAGCGACACCAAAGCAACTCGAAGCCATCACGTAAAGAAAACTGAGCCGAAAGACAGGTCCAGAAGTCGGTGCGCCGGTTGCCAGGGGGACCACTTCATAATGTTTTGCAGCAGCTATAAGGAGAAGACGGCTACAGCGCGCATGCAGTTTGTACGCGAACAGAACCTCTGTTCTAACTGCCTGGGGCGCCACCAGCTGACTGAGTGCGCGTCAAAAAAGACCTGTATGACGTGCGGCAGTCGGCACCACTCTTCTCTGCACGACGCCTTCCGCGACGCCGAGACCGCTACGACATCACACGTGGCTCAAGGACAGCCCTTCGCCTCTGTCACTGTGCTGCTCGCCACTGCTCGAGTCCGCGTCCTCGATCGTCACGGATCATGGCATCCCGCCCGAGCTCTGATCGACCAGGGCTCAGAGACGACCATAGTTTCGGAGCGGTTGGTTCAACGACTGCGACTGCCTCGCACGTCTGCCGCCGTCAGCGTCTATGGACTCGGCGAGCAAAGGACGGGAATCGCCAAGGGCAAGGTCAAGCTCACCTTTCGAGCGCTCAACGGTGAGACGTCCAACTCCGTCTCCGCCTTGATTTTGCCGAAGCTGACTCTATTCTCCGGAGGATGCCGCCGAAGCCTGCAATCCTGGACACATCTCAGGGACCTGGAGCTAGCCGATCCAGAATTCCATTCCGCTGATCCAGTAGACCTTCTGCTGGGCGCCGACGTCTACGGATTAATCATCCGCCAGGGTCTGAAAAAGGGAGGTCCTCAGGAACCGGTGGCACAGCAAACTTCGCTAGGCTGGATACTCTCAGGAGCCATCAACGAGAATACACGCTGCCAACGTATGTCCTCCCACCATTGCCAAGTGGAGGAAGACCTCACCTGTTTGGTACGTCGCTTTTGGGAGCAGGAAGAGGTTCGACAGCCGTCTCAGCTCTTCACCAAGGTCGAGCGGGAGTGCGAGGAGCACTATCGTCAGTACCACACACGCAACGCCGATGGCCGGTACGTCGTGCGCCTGCCCACGACGGAATCTCTACCGGATCTCTCTGGAACAATCCGCGCCGCCCGCCGGGCTCTGCAACATACAGAGAAGAAATTTGATCGAGAGAGCGAGTTCAGAGGTATGTATGTCAAATTCATGCAACAGTACTTAGACCTGCGCCACATGATGCCTGCTCCGCCTTCGACTACCACGCGTCCTGGAGCTTGCTATCTACCGCATCACGGGGTCCTGCGTCCTGACAGCACCTCCACAAAGCTGAGGGTAGTCTTCAACGGCTCGAGCTCCTTGCCAAACGGAGACTCTCTCAACAGATATCTAGCAACGGGACCGAATTTACTACCTTCTCTGGCCGACATCCTACTGAGTTGGCGACGCCATCGCTACGTCTTCGCGACTGACATCGAGAAGATGTACAGACAGATCCTTGTGCACCCCGACGACCAATGTCTGCAAAGGATATTATGGAGAGAGAGCAGCAACGACGAAGTAAAGGAGTACTGGCTAAGTACCGTTACTTACGGGCTTTCCTGTGCTCCTTATCTGGCGATCCGTACTTTGCGCCAACTTGCCGAGGATGAGGGACATCGCTACCCGAAGGGAGCTCTCATCCTGCTGAGCGACGTTTACATGGACGACATCCTGGCAGGCGCGGAGACCATGGAGGAAGCCGAGGTCATGATCCAACAGCTGAAGGAGATCTGCAGGGCGGGCGGCTTCTCGCTTAAGAAATGGTCGGCAAACCATTCGCTGTTACTGAACCAAGTGGAGCCCGACGACCGGCTTCGACAAGAGTCTAGATGGTGGCTGCCCGGCGAGAGTCACTCTACGCTCGGTCTAAGATGGCAACCTCGTGACGATCTCTTCGCATTCGCTACCAAAGCGATCACACTGTCGACCTTCAGCAAACGGTCGGTACTTTCGTTGACAGCGAAGATGTTCGACCCTCTTGGCTGGCTGGCACCAACAACGATATTGGCAAAAATCTTCATCCAGTCTACCTGGTTGCTAGGTCTGGATTGGGACGCTCCGCTACCTTGCGACGAAGCGAGAAGATGGTTACGATTCCAGAGCGAACTGCCGGCTCTGGAAAAAGTAATCGTACCTCGATGGCTGGGAGGTGTGACTGAATCAATGTTGGAAATCCACGGATTCGCCGATGCCTCCGAGCGTGCCTACTCCGCAGTGATCTACCTGAAGAGCAAAACAAAGGGCATTACTAAGGTGACTCTCTTAGCTGCCAAAACCAAGGTCGCGCCATTGAAGCAGGTATCATTACCTCGACTGGAGCTATCTGCAGCGACTCTTCTGGCCCGTCTCGTCGCCCACACCTTGCCGATCATCGGAGCTGAAAGAGCACCTCTTCACATGTGGTCAGATTCCACAGTCACGCTCGGCTGGATCCGAGGACATCCATCGACGTGGGCCACCTATGTGGCCAACAGGGTCAGCGAGATACAAACGCTGATTCCTGATGCCCACTGGCATCACGTACCAGGACGAGAAAATCCAGCGGACTGCGCTTCTCGGGGACTATATCCTGGTGAGCTGGTTGACCACCCGCTCTGGTGGCAAGGTCCGGAATGGTTAGCAACGGAGAGCAGCCCGTGGATAAACAGTGGAGAGGAGATTCCAACGGAGGACCTCCCAGAGAGACGAGTCCGGGCCCACGCCGCCGCCGTTGCCGAGCTGGAACCCGAGTCAGAATTGCTGCTGCGCTATTCTTCTCTGACCAGACTGCTGCGGATCACTGCATGGTGCCGTCGCTGGTGGCTGATCCACCGCCAGCTTCGTCACCCTCAAAGCCAGTCGAACGAAATCAGCGCCGACGACCTGACGAAAGCCCGCCTCTCCTGGGTTAGATTGATCCAGGCTGGAAAGTTAAAAGAAGAGATTAGACGGTTGCGACATGGAACGCCGCTGCCGTCGCGAAGCGCCCTGCTGAAACTAAATCCATTTCTGGACAGCGAGGGACTCCTACGCGTCGGCGGGCGCCTCAGCAACGCTGACCTGCCGTATGATGCCACTCATCCGCTAATACTGCCCAGCGAGTCTACCTTTACTAACCTCGTCATCGATGACCACCACCAGCGGACTCTACACGGCGGGACGCAGCTGACCTTGTGCTCTTTACGTCAGGAATATTGGGTTCCTCGAGGTCGCTCGCTGGTGAAGAGACGCATCAGCCGATGCGTCAGGTGCATAAGATGGCGAGCCGCCATCCCACAGCCTCTCATGGGCGACCTCCCGGAGCCAAGGGTCAAACCAAGCAGGCCGTTCCTCCACACCGGCATCGACTACGCCGGACCGGTTTGGATGAGAACCTCTAAGGGTCGCGGACACAAGGCATCGAAAGGTTTTATTGTCGTTTTTATCTGTTTAGCCTCTAGAGCCGTTCACCTCGACGTAGCCTCGGATTACTCCGCCGACGCCTTCATCGCTGCCTTGCGCCGGCTGATCTCCAGGCGTGGGATCTGTATATCATTGTACAGCGACTGCGGAACCAATTTCGTGGGTGCTGACAGGCAGCTAGGCGCTCTCTTCTCTGCTGCCAGTGCCGACGGACGCCGCATCGCCGCCTTCGCCGCACAGGAGAAAATCCGGTGGCATTTTAATCCACCGGCGGCACCTAACTTCGGCGGTTTGTGGGAAGCCGCTGTGAAGTCCATGAAACACCATCTGCGACGAGTAATAGGTGATGCCCGGCTCACCTATGAGGAGATGGCGACGCTGCTCTCACAGATTGAGGCTTGCCTCAATTCTCGACCGTTGCAGCCCCTGTCCGATGATCCTGAGGATGTAGCGGCTCTCACCCCGGGACACTTCCTAATCGGTTCCGCTCTCTCCGCCGTACCAGAACCGTCGCTCGAGAGAGAACCTTCGGCCCGATTATCGCGCTGGCAGCTCCTGCAACAGATGAGGGACCATTTTTGGTCCCGGTGGTCCAGCGAGTACTTACATACGCTGGCCCATCGGCCAAAATGGTCCCGAGTCAACCAGGAGGCTTGCATCGGTCGGCTGTGTTTGATTCGAAGCGAGCATACTCCACCAACGAGGTGGCCGCTCGCGCGCGTCACGCGCTTGCACCCGGGATCCGACGGCCACGTGCGCGTGGTCGAACTACGTACCGCTAATACCAATTTGACGCGACCCGTAAGCAAGTTAGTATTTTTGACCGACGGCGCCGAAGTTTCACTCGAATCAAAATCACACGTCGTAAGCGATTAACCTAATTAAAAAAAAAAAAAAAAAAACTTCACACTTTCCGCTATTAGATATTCACATTCATTTGCACATCACCGTCATATCGTTGCACTCATGTTATCACCATACTTTGTTACAGGTAGAACACTAAAGATTGTTCCGAATTTCCGCGACGCTTAACCGACACGCGTCTATACTGACGCCCGACACAAACAGCTGATCGGCTCAGCATTCTATTGACAAATTCCGTCGGAGCACGTGCGCTCCACGTGTCAGTCACTCGCTAGCGCGTGAATAGGCGCGCGCCCTTACTTTCGCGCTACGGTTCTTATATTGCAGGTGTACTGCAAGGCGGGCGGAATGTTCGAAATCGAACGGATAAAGAAAGCTGAAAGGAAGGGCATTAATGTATTACAATCAAATTCATGCAATATAAGCATGCAGCATGCACATTACGTATATAAAACCTTAAATTGTAACCGACAGACTTTAATATTATTTAAATCGCGCTCGGCCGCACAAGTATACATATACCTCGCGCCTGCGAAAAAAGAAGCGCTTGCGTTAACTTTCACTTTAATCGTAAACACCGCGGTCGCGCGAGAGGAGAGAAAATCAAGTGCCAATAACAACAAAATATGACTTGCTAAAAGGTAAATAATTATCGTAAACGTACTTTCGCCCTTAACATCTCGATCGAACAAGGGAAAATGTTCGCGAAGGTTCTCGAAATCCGGGCCTATATAAACCTCCTCTCTCGTGACCGCGGCGCTCTTTCCGATTGCTCGTCGCGAATAGAGTGTGCTTCTACTTTCCGAAAAAGATCGCTTGTCTTTTTCGGTTTTCTCGTCTAATTACCGTTGCTTGCGGAACAGTCAGTAATTTATTTTCGACCCGGCTTTTCTCTCGTTTATTGCATTCATTTCTTATACATTCGACTCGGCTATCTTTTGGTAATTTCTGTGCGGTAAAACAATTGTAATTTTTGTTAATAGTGAAATATATTTTTTGTTAACGATACGTGTGTGTCGAGTGTAGTGCCTATCTATCGTCTCGCTTCCGACCGTCCTTTCCCGCTATCCGTTGTGCACATAAGGCCTTTTATATATTAGTAGACATACGTTAATCGTTATTTATTTATCAATCACAGCGCCTATGGATATGAAAAATTTCTCGCTTAAAAACGAAGAAATAACTTACGAGATCCAACATCATAAGATTTTATTACGGCGAATACTTTTAAAACATGACAAATTATAACACGCAAGTTCTAATATATTCTCGACTCGAATTAACGGACTATTAGTAAATTTTAAGAATAGGATGATTTTTGTAAGAATTATAAATTAAGTAACACTGTTATACTGAGGAAGACCGCGTGCGGTTGAAACGTTTATATATGGAAGGTTTTTGTAATTTCAATATATTGTTTATGAAATAAATTTTAATTGGATACATCTTAAATATTGCTCGATAAGTTGGCCTTTTGTGAATACATTTGTTGTTTTATACAATACACGAGCAAATTAAAATTTTAATTAATATATATAGATATATATATATATATATATATATATATAATATATATATATATATATATATATATATATATATATATCAATGTTCTTAAAAGGGTCAAACTCAGTATCACTTTTTGTTTCAATTGATTAAACTTATTAATTGCATTATTTTTCTTTGTGCGATTAAAATTAAGAAGTCTTTGTTTGCTTTGTTTAAAAAACCGTTTTATGACATTATTTGGTAAACAATTTAGTAAACAATCCTCAACAACTCTTATTTTTGATTTTAAAAACTTTAAATCAAAATTCAGATCCTTAATTTCAAGTTTTAATAACTTTTATTGATTATATTTAATAATCAAATTGAATACTTAAAACGTCGCTAGTGGTATTTAAAATAGGAACGATATATTAAATTCGACCCAAACTAGCCAAGAATTTTTTATTTTATTTCCACAACGTTTCGACCATCTGTTTTTGGTCCTTTTTAAGTGAAAAATTCTTTGATAAAAGCGCAGTTAGTTGACACTGTTGTCATGATTATTAAACAATAGTAATAAAGCATTTTTATTATCGCACCCAATTTTCCATACTAAGAACTTAAAGTTGATAATTGATATATTAATTAATAATGGCTACTCTACTAAATTAATTTTTCAAACCATAAACCATCGTTTAAATTTACTGATCAATAAAAACAACAACATTATTAACAATAGTATTTCTATTCTAAAATCACCTAATTCATACTTTACCATTCCATATTTACCAAGCATATCTGAACAATTTAAAAATATCACAAAGAATCTTAATACGAAATTCTCCTACTTCAGTTTAAATAAGTTAAACAAACACATTAAATTAAGAGTTTAAACAAGGCTCTGTAGTATCAATATAAATTCAACATATAAGACAGGCAATAAGAGCCAAATCGCGGATGACAGTGCGTTATCCTAAACGAAACTAAATTTTTTCGTTAGAATTAAATATCTGTGCACAAGGCATCAAATTTTACTTGGACACGGCCAAGATATAAAATTGGAATAATCTCTACAAGAGATTTAATTCCATACATCCCCTGTTCTCCCTTAAGGAAATAAATGCGAGAGAAAAGGGGTTTCTTTAGGGGGGAACAAACGTTTTTGACTATGCTTGATGTATATATTACCGTTATGACACCGTTTATTAGTTTTTAAATTCAGAATTTAATCAGCGTTGATAATGGTCAAAATATTGACCGAAACGTTCGCTTTGTATTTGTATTTAAAGAGTACTTATGTCTAATTCATTTTTGTCACCTTTTATTGTAATTCATTATTAGACATTAGATTAGAGAACATTATTTTTATATATGACTTCATTTTCTAACATAATTTGAATTTTTATATTTACTGCTCTTAACAGCCTTTTATCAAATTTATTATAATTTAATAAGAACCTTGACGATTTAATAGTAATAAAGTTTTTTGACGATCCATTATAACGATAAGATGCGGTTACTTTCTTTCAAAAGTTCTTTCAAAAGTTATTTCAAATGTTTTTAAAAATTCCGATAATCATATTGTTTAATAATCATGACAACAATGTCAACTAACTGCGCTTTTATCAAAGAATTTTTCACTTGAAAAGGACCAAAAACAGATGGTCAAAACGTTGTGGAAATAAAATAAAAATTTCTTGGCTAGTTTGGGTCGAATTTAATATATCGTTCATATTTAATAATGTTATTAAACCTACATTTCACATTGTTACTACGGAAAGAGATCTTAAATTTTAAATTTTTAATATGCGAAGGCATTATATCGTACCTTCTACAGTGTAATAAAAAGATCAATTGTTGATTGGAAGTGTAAAATCTCTTGTTATAATTAATCCATTCTTTCATGAGGGACGAGGTCCTGATACCATAATGCCTCAATATGTGTTGAAAAAAGCCTTCAGTATGTATATTCTCCATATCCAAATCCAGGAGTGTATCAATAAATTCCCAAAATTATTAATAACAATCACTAGTATTTAAATAGGAGTTGTAGAGATTAATCGATCAGACTAGCAAGTAAATCATTTATTGAGCTTTACGACGTCTCAACCATGTGTTTGTGGTCAACAATTTATTGTATTGAGAAAGACTGCCGTGTAGTCGAAACGTATATGTAAAAACTTTTTAATTAAGTTATAAAGATTAATAAATGTTTTAACAATTTAACATCTTAATCATAATATTGCTTGTTTACGTTGGCTATTTATTATTCCTTTTAAGTATTAATTCATTGAATTTCTAATTTCTATTAAGTACATAATTTTAATTCACCGTATTTCTTTATCTAAATAATTTTAATTTGCCTAATTTCTATTATATATCTAATTTTAATTTCTCGTATTTCTTTTATGTAAATAATTTTAATTCGCTAAATTTCTATATGTACATAATTTTATTCTTGAATTTTCATTGTGTACCTAATTTTAATTTTTGAATCTTCATTAAATTTTAAATTTTGATTTGCCGAATTTCTACTCTGTATAATACATAAGTATTTTTGAATTTCTATTATGCATTATAATATTAATTCATCAAATATTTATTGTGTACATAAATTCAATTGGCCGAATTTCTATTAGGTACAATTTCAGTTATTTATATAATAGAAATACGGCTAATAAAATTATGTGCATAATAGAAATTCAAGAATTAAAATTATGAACATAATGGAAAATAAAAAATTAAAATTATTTATATAAAAGAAATACGGCGAATTAAAATTATGTTCATAATAGAAATTCAACAAATTAAAATTATATATATAATATATGAATTTTAAATTGGCCAATAGAGCCCAAGTGCGAAAAATTAATTCTTCGGAACTGTATCTCTTGGTTTGAGATTACTAAGTTCCATATATAAATTAATCTCAAAGTTACATATGGAGAAAAATAGGCGAGAAAAATATAGGTCCGAAAAGTCGCTGAAGCGGACCCCTGTGAAGCTGGCACCTCATTTTCAAAAATTTGAAATTTTTATTAGAGTTCTGATAGCCCCCCTAAGAGTTCTAAAGTTCTCTATCGGTTTTAGAAATAGTTCCGCCATTTAAAATAGAAAAAATATCATTTGAAGATACGGGGGGGCCAACTTCACATTTTTTGCAACTTTAACTTGGCATAACTTTTTTGTTATCAATTTTAGAGCTTTGGTAATTAAGGATAATTGCTAGAACTCTTTGGGGGGCTATCAGAACTCTCAACAGAATTGTCAAATACCGAAAAAAATTTTCACCCTTCTAAAAATCGATAATTCGGGTAAAAATTTTTTCGGAAATCGGCAGTTCTCTCGAGAGTTCTGGTAGCCCCCCGAAGAGTTCTAACGATTCTTCTTAATGATCGAAGCGCTACGACGCGAAATTAAAAAGTTCTGGCTCCTTAAAGTTGCAGATTTGAAAAATTTCAAAGTCCCAGAGGGGTAGAAATTTTTTTCGAAAATCGGCAGTTCTCTCGAGAGTTCTGGTAGCC